GATTCTCGATACTTTTGATGACAGTTTAGTCCAGGAGCTAAGTTAAAACATGGAGAATTGCAATACAGGCAAATAAAATGATGATAATGAATTAAGTTTAGGATTGAAATGGAAAACAGACTCAAACTGATAGACCCGTTTCAGTGTGGGTCTTACTTTGGTAGATATTTTTTTCACATTTTTACTATTCCCATTTTGTAGCAAGCTCTGTTTATGTTGTATGTGAGAAGTATAACTTATTTGTTGCCTGGTTGTTGGATTTCGAGTATGATAAAACTTTTTATCCTACATTAAATTTAATGGTAAGGATGGCAAGAGATTATAATAGTGCTTTTACATTGTTTGCTTTGGTATTTTCTTTTATCTGGTTTACTTTTTAATCTGTCAACCACTCGATGATACCTGAGTATTAGATATTGAGTTCTTTTGTTCATGAACTAAAAAAATTAAAAATATATTTTTTTCTGGAAAGATTTAAAGATCACATAACCTAAAAGCTTTACCAAAATTCATTATACATGTCAATAGTTTTGAGAAAATTGTTTTCCAGTATATAATCTTATATAAATAAAGTTGGCAAGTTGTTGTTGTTTGTTATTAAGCACAAAGCTATGCAATGGGCTATCTGTGCTCTGCCTACCACAGGTTTTGAAACCCGGTTTCTAGTAGTATAAGTCCGCAGATGTAACACTGTGCCACTAGGGGGCAGCATGTCATTTAAAAATAACCAATGGTCTATTTGTAAGACACATTTACCAGGAAGGAATCAGCTTTTACTATATTGTTTCATGAATATCTTGCCACATATTATGGCAGAATTTTAAGGTAGCTGATTAGCTTGGAAAAGTTTAGTAAAATTATGAACACTAAAGAAAATTCACAAATATTTGGACCTCACATAATTTTGAGCAATAACTATTTTAAACTAACTAGCTTAGAGCATATACTTATTTTGTTTTGAAGAAAAAAAAAGTAGTCCATAATAATTCTTTGTCATGATATCTTTTAAAAAAATATTAATAGTTCTCATATACATAGTCTCCTTTTTTATCTTTTAAAAGCTTAAAAGATGTTGAATCTTTTGTTATAGAGATATTTTCATTCTTGCTGGAAGTTTTGTTCTTTGCACATATATGAAGTTTGAATACTTTTCTCGTGTAAATGCTTAGTCTTTAAGCAACTTGTTTTATTGAAAACCTTTTTCTTAAAAAGCATTTATTAGACAAGTTAATGGCCAGTACAATATTTATATAATCAATATCTGTTCAACTTTAGAAACTGTCATCACTTAATAAATGTCTCTGACCTTTACATATCAGAGAAAAGTTTTGTATTAATAGAATTGCTGTAGATATCATTTAATGTTTATCTATGGGTATAATTGTTTCTGATACATTTCCAAGAATAATTAGCTCCTAAAACTCATCCCATTATCTGCTTTGTCAATACTTATTTTATGGAAATATGGCTGTGATCAACTAAAGATATACAGACAGTTAATTAATGTTTTTTATTATTCTTTTATATTTTAACTTTTCAATATGAATTTCACTTATTTTGACTTTATTCAACCTGTATAAGGTTTGTCAGTGACAAAATGGGAGGTGCTGTGCAGGTTGGGCAAGATCTTGCTCTTGGAGTTGAACTTCATCTCAATGAGCTGAAAAACAACCTTCAATGTAATGCCCTACCTTTGGGATATCTCAAGAAAGGATCTTTTTCTCACCGAGCCCTACTATTTAAGGTAGATTTTCTTGGTATTTGAGATGACCACCAAATTTTCTTTTTTATTATTATTTTTTTTGAAGTAATATAGACTTTCTTTGCAAACATTTTCCTCTTTTATATTAGATCCTTTTAAAGTGTGTAATTTTTGTCTGACAAACATTTTGTTCAACCTTTTCCTCTTTTATATTAGGGCCTTTTAAAATGTGCAATTTTTGTCTGACAAACATTCTCTTTAACCTTTTCTCTTTTATATTAGGGCCTTTTAAAGTGTGCAATTTTTGTCTGTCAAACATTCTATTTAACATTTTCCTCTTTTATATTAGGGCCTTTTAAAGTGTGCAATTTTTATCTGACAAACATTCTCTTTAACCTTTTCCTCTTTTATATTAGGGCCTTATAAAATGTGCAATTTTTGTCTGACAAACATTCTCCAACATTTTCCTCTTTTATATTAGGGCCTTTTGAAATGTACAATTTTTGTCTGACATACATTCTGTTTGACATTTTCCACTTTTATATTAGGGCCTTTTAAAATATGCATTTTTATCTGACAAACATTCTCCAACATTTTCCT